GAGACGGACCACTTCTCCAAATGAGGAGACAGACACCTAAAGCCTCAAGGACGTACCCGAGCACTCTTTATGCAAGTTAGTGTTTGAGAGGAGGCACCCCCAGCTAGCCAGCTCCAGCACTGAAAAAAAAATATATATATATATCCACCTGGAAAAAGTAACTGATCTACAGTATGGGCATTTCTAAATTGCCAAAGGAATTCATCTTCCTGAGCAAGGATGCTTTTAGCTTGCACAATTTTATTTTTTTTAACAGTCAAACATCTGCCTTAAATATTTGTTCCAAAGAACAAGTATTTTCAAGCGTTCTTAATAACTTCACAAGCTTAAAATTTGTTTAAATCCATCTGAAAAAGACCTTAATTCAACTTAAAAAGCTTGTCTAGAATAAAAAAGTCATTCTAATTTACATTTTCCTGGAATAAGACATTCAATTTCCAAATGAGTAGGCTGTAGTCTTAATCTCAGGCTGAGTGCCTTAAGATCTTCCTCAATTCTAATAATGAACAAGTGGTAACAACTTGTAGTGCTTTACATTGTGTTACAAAAGATAGCATTACAGTAAAAAGAGACCTTAAAACTCAGCCAATTTCTTTAATGCTGAAACTGAATCAGCTCTCTCCATTATTCTACCACTCTTATTAATTAGCAGGAAAAATGTTGGGTCACTGAGCTACTGGATCTTTATAAACATTTAAATCCACACTGATATGAAACATCTGCTAAAATCTGCTGTGAACTACTTCTACTCCGGGCAAGTATTCACAATACTACATAAACATGTGGTTGCTGACAGCAGCAATCTTTATGAAAGACAAATTTTGAACACAAGCAGGTCCATGCAGCTTTTTTCCTGTTAAATATTTTACACAGAGAAAAGGAGAACAGCCCTGTAGCAAATATTTCTGCAAAAATTTAGCTCAGGCAAAATCCAACAAGTTTAGAAAGGAATAGCTGTATGACAGATGTTCTGTGAGAAGCCAAAGGCTTGGGGCAAAACGGATTTCTTCTGCAGCATACCTGCACCTTTTTTTTTTTTTTTTTTTTTTCAAGTATCCTACTCTTGTCTCCCCCCTTTGCAACACAACATACAAAGACCATTTTGTTTTCCTTAAAAATCTGTTTAGTATCTCTTACTGTTTTCTGGTAAAACATTTCACACACTGAATAATAAATATTACTGTTTTACACATACTAAAGAAGTTCTAGTATGCTCTGAAAAAATACAAGCGGATCTTGCACGCATCAGTGGGGGAGGTTTCAGTACACATACTGATGAAAAAAACACATCAATTACTCTGTAAGAGGGCCTACGCACAATTACTCCTTTAAAATCCAAAGCACTAATAAATTAAACCAAGAAAATCTGCCATAATGCACTTCAAATCTCTTACCAGGACATTGCTCTTATCAGGTCTGATGTCTTGCAGTTAACTGAAACTGCATGAAAAGCAAAGGCAACAAACAAACCATGGGAAACATTTGAAAGTAACATCCCAGTGACAGTAGATAATCTACTTACCAAGAGATATCGTTTTTCCCTTCTGTTGTGGATTGTGGTTTAGCCTTCTGATGCTTTACCTTTCATTAATAAAAACACAGCAGCTCACTTCATTAAAAAATGGCTGCATTGCTCAGCTAGCAAAACCATGCTAAAGACTAAGCTGCGGTAGATTAAAGAAAAAAGACAACAACAACAAAAAAAGACAACTACTGTTTCTTGTATGAAACTGAAAATATCCATGCTGGCACCTTCAATCATGGAGCTACCGTGGAAGCTGCTGCTGCTGCTGCTGCTATTCAAGTGTCTGCAGTAAAGGTCCTGCCACCTTCTTGCCTCCTGCATGGGTTTTCAGCTACAAGAGCTCAGAACAGGCTAGCAAACACCTCCTTCCCAAGTGAAAGCTCTAATTTCTTCTTCTGCAGTGAAATCAACCAACTTTCTATGCTACAGAGTGAGTGACAGTAATGTCAGCCAATCAGCTTGAGTTTTCCAGGAAAATCACCCCTTAATTCATTCAAAATCAGGTCATATGACACTATTTGAAATGCTATTGGCTTAGGAGGAACATAGCATTTTAGCCTAATCAGGATAAGGCCACCCATCTAAGCCTCCCTAGGCTGAAGCCACCTTGACTTTAGGCAGGCTGGGGATAGGAAAAGAAGAATGCAGACCTACCAGAGCCTCCCAGCTGTTAAAGGGCCGGAGCGCTATTATCTTCTGAGCCTTTTTCTGAGAACACTGGGGAATCAAACTCAGTTCGCTCGGGGAAGCATCCTGCAGGAAGCTGAGGATTTTCGCTTTGTAGCCATCCTCCATCACTTCGTCGCCGCTGCTGTAGTCCTCGTCAAGGGAGCTACCACCCTCTTCGGAAGCTGACTCGTCCTCCGAGTCTTCAGTTTCACTTTTAGTGCTCCAAATGCTACTTTTGCCTTTGTCCTTTTTCTGAAAGCCATTCTGATCTTTCCCAGAAGATTTCTGCTTCGGCTTCTCTCTACTCTCATCAGTTGTGTTCTTGGTGGAAGCTTTGGTCCAGTCAGAAGCTTCACTTTTGGGAGGAAATTCCATGTCTATGCAGGCAACATAAAAAGCAACAAGTCAATGCATACTGGTTAAGGGTGAATTAAAACCCCCTGTTCTTCCAAAATAAAACCTATATAGATATAAAACACAATTCTAGTATTTAATATGCAACAACTCAACAGCAGGTGTTACTAAGAGAAAAGAGGAGCAAACACCACGCAAGTCTGTTTAAAACATGCAAATAGTACCAACTGTGAGGATAAAATGAGCAATGCTAATTTGTATGCCACTCAAATACCAGGAGGTTTTAAATAACTGCCTTAAAATACAGATGATCAGTGCTATGCAATATGTGTAAGGTAAGAGCAGATAGTTAGGAACTCTGACATATCACTGGGATGAGAGATGGGTCCCACTCCACCCAACTGCAGAGGTATTAATTCTGATTATTTTGCTGAAACAAGCCTACTTTCACCATAGAAATTTTATTTTTTTTTTCCATTTTAATGCATCTCAGTACATCATTAGAGGTGGAAAAACAAAAATACGCACTTGTTAAAGAAAGTGGAAGAATAAGGTATTTCCAACCAAAAAAACCCCTACTGCCTTAAAGTAGGACAAGGTTATTTAACAGTATGCAAGCAACTCATTTTCAGAAGTTCCTTCTTTGGAAGAAAGCACTTGCAACGCTGCCTCTTCTGCACAATCCCAGCTTGCTGCTGATTGACTCCAGCCCCACTGTCTACCTTCTCAGAAGCACCAGCAGCAGCAATAAGGACCCAACTTCATGCATGTCTCTCTCCACTTGTAAAGAATCCAATTAAGAATACTTAAATAGCTGATACAGCAAAACATACATATCTGACAGCTGTGTAACACTCTGAAAAGTAATCAACTCATTAAATAGTATTTAAGTTATAACTTGCAGATTTAAGTGAAATCATGGTTCTTGCTCCCTACCACATTCAATACACTGGTATTTATAAATTGGTTGCATAATTTCAGGCCTATTTCTAGTATTTTTCTCTCCTAGAATATATCTTAAAAACATAAAATAACATATGTCATTTGTCACCTACGCAGTTATTTGCAATTACTGACTTACAAATTACTCTAGTTAAAAAAGAAAACTTATTTTTAAACAAGCAGGAGAGCAGGTATCAGCTTTTACACATTTCAAAATATATTTTATGATACGCCCATAGGTAATTACAACTTCATATGTAAATATGTATTAGCAAGACAAAGATATTTATATCCACTTACAGAGCAAAAGTAATCATGACACTTAAACATACAGAAAAATTGAGTTTCCTTCTTTTATCCACCCTGTAATACCAATTCCAAGTATCAGTGCAAGTTTCTAGGCGTAGTGCTGTCAGGTCTGTTATTGCTGGACATTAGAAAAGATTTGCATCACAAGTCTGTTTTATCTTGGGATAAAACGGATTATAAATCTGTCTTTACCCTCATCACCATCTGCAAATGCTCTCAGGGCCTCTAGTGCTTCATGAAACACCCAGTTATGTTCCTGAAGTACATCTCTCAGTTCCTAGTAAAAGAGAAGAGATTTTGTATTGTAGTAAGATAAGCAAAAACTAAATTTCTGTGCATAGTAACATTAAGGCACTAACAATTTTAATTGTGCAAGGCAAAGAAAACCCCTGTACATCGGATTATTCAAAATAAAGGAAATCAAAAGGAAAAAACCCTTCAGTTTTATCCTTATACACTCCATTTCGTCAGAGCTGCACTCCAATTTTCAAAAGGGTAAGAACACACATAAACAGGTTTTGCTTCCAACGATTTAAAAGCTCAGTGTTACAATGAACAGATCGGTTGCTGTGTATTGTCAGATACTAAACTAATACAAAGCACGCGGTATATCGAGTCGTCCAGAGGAGAGGAGTGTGAGAGAGAGGGAGGGATAATCTCCTCATGCATTTTTATAACAGGTCATCAAATTTGACTGTTTCAGGCTTGTCTCGGGACCAAAAAAGCAGGATGAGAATTTCCATATAGTCTTGATTACATCCAATTGGTCTCAGTTCAAGGCAAGTTGCATCCCAAAAGGAGCAACAGCAAAGACCTTCCCACCCTGTGTGCTTTGCAAGAGTGCTGCTCATGTACGGACTGTTTCATTTGGACTGTTAACGGCTCCAATTTTTTCTTAAGAAGACAAAACCTGATGTGCCATCAGGAGACATGAGCTCACCTCTTCATCCAATCCAGGGAATGTATTTTGCAGCTTCTTCACAAGCATCTCTTGCCTCTCCCATTGTCTTTGGGGTTCTGACTCATCCAGCTACATTAAAAAAAAAAAAAAAGTTAGGTTTAATGCAAATTACAAGCATAAAAACAGAAAAAATGATTTAAAACAATCAAGCCTAATCAATATTGCTTACCCTTAAAGAGACACTCTAAATTACAAAAGCACTTCAAATAAATCCAAATAGCAGAAGTGATTCCTCACACACAGACAATGCTCAAAATAAGACCAAAACTTTCATAAGCATAGAAAATGTCTTCAGTCATGAAAGACTGGCATTCTTTACTTGATAAACATAAACAGCACAAAGTTACATGCCAAAATATAAATAATTTAGAACTATCTAGTTTGTATTTCTTTTAAAAATAAAAAGTTGATAGTGATTCTGGATGATATTTAAAGCAGAAGATGGCAAGGTTAATAGTCAGTCAGTTAGGTTACATTACCAAAATGCAGTATTTAACCCAGGAGAGTCTATAAACATGACAGTTGGTATGAAAATTTATGGGTTAAAAATCCCCGAATACTGTGTCACAGCATCACTGAGTCACATCAAGACCTGGTAAAAGTTTTCATCAACAATAGCTTCACTAACAGCTCCTATCAGCCTGCAAAGCAGGAGGTTTGTTATGAACGAGTGCCAAAACTTCTACAGGCCACAAGCTGCTCTGTTCGGCCTACACCACAAAATTATGCAAGTTTCTTCTCAGAGCTTTGAATGCAAAGTGTTTACAGATCTACTTATCTGCAGCAGAGATGCCAACAGGTTTGATCAATATTTAGTTCACTGAATGATGCTATTTGCTGAAAAAGCACAAACCATATCACCCAGAAGCACTCCAGGTAACAGAGGACACTGTTCCTTTCCTCAACAAGCCTATGGTATCAGTACGAGTACAGCTACAGTACGTGTAACAGCCAGCACAGTGTGCTCTGGTCTTAGGAAGCAGCGGAAAAGCAAGAATGAGAAAAAAAATATATAATAACCCTATAAGTTTTCTCACTACAATTCTCTATTACAAATTCTAAAAACCTGTGTTTCACCTTTATTTTTCCCAATCCTTCCCCTTCTAACTGTAATGGAACTTAAGCACAAAAATCAAACTGCTGCACGAAACCAGGTCCAGTGAGGCATTGTTTGGTAGGCTGGCTGGATAATAATTCAGTAAAGTCTCCTTTGTAACCTAACCCAGGAGTTTGGCAAGGAGGAACAAACCCAAATCCCAGCAAATCTTGCCTCACAAAACTCATGGCTCTTCTCCAGGAAGTAGGGGAATATCCAACTAATATTATTTCTGCTTTCATGGAAAACTTAGTGTTTACTTCATTTTGTTTTAACTGAGGACAATATATATGGCTAAATTTCAACACAAAGATAGTCACCATCCTCCATCTAGCCTCCAATATTTACCATGGAATTTCCTTTATCTACCATAAGTGGTTTTCAAAGATGTCTACTGGGACGCCTGGGAGCTGGCCTCATGACAGCACTGTAGGACTGTGCCTAAGATCTGCCAAATACTAACCCAAATGTACCAAGATCATTACATTGTTCCTATTTATTAGCAGAGGTCAAAGTAATAATTCCTTTAAATGTAATTATTTCATTCCTTTTAAAAACTTCCCTAAGTTGTAGTTTCAAATACATACGTGAACAACGTTACTCCTATAACACGAGGAGCTGTAGCAACAGATGTTGAACTTCAGCTATTTGAGGAAACGCAAGGAATGATCTGATAAGGCAAGGTGATCCGTAGCCTGTAACTCCCACTGATGTTCACAAGAACTGAATCAAGTATCAGCACCCCAGATACTACTACCTGCCATCAGCCACCTCCACAAAAGCAGTGGAGAAGCTATTAGGATACAAATCCACAAACAGTAAAGAACAAAGTAGGCAATTCCATTCAGAAATGCCAAGGAGAAGAAAGTCAAAAAACCTCATTCAGATAGCAAGATTTGAATTTGATTGGATTTTCTGATAAAACACACCAAGTTCATGACATTGTCACTGACCACGTTCGTAATTCCACTTATATTACAACACAAAAAGAGAAAAAACAGTACTTACATGATCGGCTTTTGGCTTTTTTATGACTTGTTCATTTCTGTTTTCACAAATTATCGGAGAATCTCTTAGTTTCCTTTTACGAGAGGCAGCTTTAAAAAGAATCAAGGCAGAAAAGACAAATTAATTACTTTCACTAAGTTTACCCCAAAACAGCAGGATCATTCACAGAATCACAGAAT